CTGGTTAAGTCAGGTTCTTGCCCCTTTCCCTCATGTATCAGTCTTGATGCATCAAGTATCTTGGATGAGGCAAGTACAAAAGCAGTAGCATGCATCTTTTCCCCACTCAAACTTAATACTAGAGCTTCCCCATACAGTACTAAATGAACCAAGCGCTAAGGGAGGGGATAACCAGCCATCCCCTGGCAGCCTCTGCAGATAGGACCTGCTCACCAGGACAGCTGCTTCAGCTCTTCCCCATCCCCCTTCACACACAAACTGACACAAGAGACCTGGGGCTATGGAGATATCCACAGCAGTTATATTTTTTCACCTGAACAGCCAGCAGACCGATCTCAGCTTTGTATCTTCAGAGCTACTTCCGTCCTGTGGCAGATGCTTTCCATACACATTTACACAGCAACTGAAAGGGCTCAGCACCACACTGAAGTCTGTCCATCAGTCAGAACCAGAAACATGACTCTTCTCCTGCAAATATTTAAAAAAAACCCCAAATATTGCAATAAAAATCAGTCTCAAAACACTCAAGTCTAAAATTAAAGTTTATTTCAGTTTTAGAAAGAAACAGGAAAATATGTACATGAGTATCTTAGGAGTTACACAAGTGATAGCGTGTTGTTTCTTTTCCATGTCTAGTCCCCACTACTGCCTGGCACTTTGAGATAACTTGAAATATTTCTCAGTGCCCTTCAGGTATTTTACAATACACACACAGAAAAACAGCTTCCAGTGGAAATCCAGACAATATTAATCCACCCCCAAAATCAACTTTTTAAATTTGGTTCAGTGTTCGGTATAGAAAAGACACATCATAAACATGACCTAGGCCAGCAGTATGCATGTAGCACTGGTGAACCATACGGGCCAAAAATGGGTGCAAGTGCACAAACTGAGGCTGCCTGCCTGAGCAGTGCTCAGTAGCTCATGTGCTGTGCAGCAACAGGTCATCTACCAGTCCCACGGGCAGTATTTAATTTTTTTTTTCTTCCACATACATGGCTTACACAGCACTTCTTTGCACCAGCAGTACGCATGTAGCACTGGTGAACCATACGCTCCGAAAATGGGCAGCTGCCTTCCGTGGGTGCAGGCGCACAAACTGAGGCTGCCTGCCTGAGCAGTGCTCAGTAGCTCATGTGCTGTGCAGCAACAGGTCATCTACCAGTCCCACGGGCAGTATTTAATTTTTTTTTTCTTCCACATACATGGCTTACACAGCACTTCTTTGCAGATGCAGCTCCAAGGGCAAACACAAGGAACTTCACCTGATCAAGGAAAATAGGACTGCACTTTGCTTCACACACATACCAAGTGTGGACCACTGATTGACAATGTGGACAATCAGCAGACTTCAGCTGGCACGCTATCAGTATGGAATGCAGCTTATCATATATACTTACTTTCAGTATGAATACAGGGCCTTTTATTAATAGATATTTTTTTAAAGTAATGGGCATATTGATTTACCTGTCTCAATTTGAAAGATTAAACTCTCTTTGCCACTAATTCAACACCTTTTCATTTAAAGTGCCTTTAATTCCCATGCAGAGGACAGCACTTTAAGCACAAGTGACTGTGCCTGATGTTAGGCCAGTGTTTGAGCGCTTTGCTGGACTGGGACTAAGGCATCAGCTCCTTGCATGACTGAGCGCTGGGGAGATGTTAAAAGGAAAGCAACAACAACAAAAAGGCAACTCATCATGCTTATCTCTGGACTCTGAATTTAGGTACTCATGCTGAGAATTCAGTCTCCCTGCATGTTCAGTAGAGCAGGGAAACTCATCCTTTTCTCCCTTAACCGATTATATATGGTAGAGAAACTCGTTTCCCTGCTTCACCATCACACTCAGATGGCCCTCAGTGGGAGGTATTTACTCTAACTGACGTTCTTATTCAGAAAAATGGGTTAGATGGTGAAATTATCATGTACGACATCTAGCTAACCAGTGTTTGTTCTCACTAAAAATACTGGTTAATATGGAAAATAAATGCCTTCAACAGAAGTGGTGGTTAAAATATTTTATTTTTTATATCATAGAACATACTGCTGTTTACTTTAAATCACTTTAAAGGCACACATTGTTAAAAATACTTCAAATTTACATCACATGTACAAATGCATAAAACAGATGTACATGTCACCAAAAAAAATACAATATGGCTTCATAAGGCTGAGGCGGGGCTGGGACAATTCAACATATATTTAAATTTTACAGGATGCTGTTAACACTGAAAGGACTGTCTAGAACAGAAAAGAATGGACCTAAAACACTGCTTATGTTACATAAACAGTACAAACACATTGAATATACAACATTGAGCATTCACGTATGAATTCATAGGACTGTTCTGCAAATTCATCAGGCTTTACAGTGCCACTGAATAAACAGTGCATGCACATGATCTGCCAGTTTGCAATAGCGGGAAGATAAACTGCAAATTCTCCGTTCACAAACAGGCTCCTTGAAGAATCTGCCGATATGCTTCGTAAAAAAAAAAAAGTGAAACAACAGACTTAAGGTATTAACTGAAGAGAAAAAAATCAATAATGAACGGACAACTTACATGGTAATCACTTCTGGCTAAAAAGCATAAAAACATTAAGTCAAAAAAAAAGTGAAACAATAGACTTAAGGTATTAACTGAAGAGAATAAATCAATAATGAACGGACAACTTACATGGTAATCACTTCTGGCTAAAAAGCATAAAAACATTAAGTCTCCAAGAATACTCCATGACAATCATTTAGCATTAGTCCCACCCAAGTTTAAGGCTCATATCTAAAATTTACCTTTGATTTGTTTTCCTTTGTGTAAAATTACCTGAGCACAGATATCAATGATCTACAGATCTTTTAAAATATCTGCAGATACCTTAAAAATCTGTAGATAACTTAAAGCAAAACATCAATATATTGAATTCTACCAGCTAAAAATTTTCAAAAAAGCAACCAACAAACCCATATTTTGGTAGGTCAGTAAAGCCAGGAGAAGAATGAGCTTAAGCTTTTGCTTTCATCTTTTAAAAATGTACATAAAATGTAATAGAATTATTCAAATAGGACTGCTTAATTGTAAACAATACATTAAACCTTTTTTTAAAAAACCCTAGAATTAAAATTCAGGCAGTCACTCTAGTCTTCTATAAATTGTTTACAAATGCTGCTTTTCCTCTTGCTAGAGATGGCTGATGGTTTCTTAAGCACTGATAGATGGAAAATAAAAGGACCCGCCTCCACTGTATTCTTTATTATCATTCACACTTTGTGTCCAAGAAGCGTGAATTGCTGCCATTCTCATTTGCTAAGGTTTATTCTCTGCACAACTGTAAGGCCCAGATCCAGAAAAGCACCTAGCATGGGTCTTAAGAGCTCTGCAGGATCAGGTTAGATGTAATAGGTTTAACAATAAACATGCACTTAAATCATTCGCTGCACTGAGACTCATACCGTTTTCAAAGTGCAAGGCAGAAAAGCATCAGGTTGCATGGACAGACCAGCTCCCAGCAAAGTCAATGCCATCACAGAGACGAGCATTAGACCCTTAATTTCATTTAAAAAAGCTTGAAAAAGACAACACTGCACAGAAGATACATGTACATACTTTTGGCAAACAATAGATTGTATAGGACTATTTCCAACACAAGGCTTTGGAAATACATCCTACTAAAAGCAGTTCATTGATTTAATTGAACCAACTGACAACAAAGAAACACAAAACACATCATGAGCTTTTCCTCCTCCTGCCTCAGACACTGGTTCCTATCTTTCATTCTCAAGAGAAATTAATACAGATTAAAACTTCACTTTAAGTGGTGAGCAACTGTATATGAGCTTGAGGAGCAAATGGGACTCTTCCACTCAAACACATCAGGTTAAAACTTTGATATGACAATTACAGTTACTTGTATTGTTGAACTGGGACTAGCTGACTGCAGAGGGCACTTCACAGTAATTGACAATCCTGTATAAGGAAAAAAATTCCTATGAAATATGAACCTATGATTAAAAAAATAAATAGATCAATGATGGATGGCTGTCCTGGATAATTAAGAAAAATCACAGCAGTCTGAAGTACCCATAATTCTATGTATAAATAGCAGGTAATCCAAATAAAATGCTACAGCTAGTTTGAAAAACTAAATTGAACACTGGTTTTCTATTAAATAGATTAAAATATTAATCCACTGAGAAATTACATTGATAAATAAAATAATTTCATGTATCAAAAATGAGGGGCAGGTACTATCAATTCCAGACTTCTTGTCCCAATAATGAAAGGTCTGAGAAACAAAAGTAAATTGTACAGTAGTTCTACTCTCTTAAATTTACAATACTGAATCCAGCAAGATTCGGCTAAATAATACAGTTTAAATAAGCTAATCTAAAGGAACACAGTGTCCTGTAAACATCTGACACAAACCATGTTGCATTCTGATGGTGTAGCTATACCTTCTCTACGCAGGAGAAAGACAATTCAAGTGGTGGTGGTAACAAGGGATGCAATCTAAAGGCAACGTTGCTGTTCTTCAGTAAGGCTAGTAAAAAATTTGAGCAGTGTACGTATGACAGCCTGTACAATTCTGAAATTTTTTGAAAGCTCAAGTTTAAAAAAACAGCCTAAATGTTTTAAGTATAAAATACACATTGAGAAGATGTCCTTCCTAAGTATGTGTAAAAGTGTCTGGCACCAGAAACAACCACTAGGTATTATTATACCTAAGGAAAAAAAAAGCAAAGAATCACTCAAGACAAGTGTCCCTGAACTTCAGAGCAGATGCAGCCCGTTAGGTTACTTTGTGTTGTTCTATTCCTCTGGAAAAGAGGTCTTGAACATACACTCTTTAAGCTGTCTGTATTACATCATCAGTAATATATAATATATACAGTATGCACATATATATATATATTTGCATACATATTTCTTTTACCTCAATCTGGAATCATATGGTTTCATGCAACACACTTGCCAGGAATCAAACCTATTCACTAGATCATAGCTGGTGTAACTTTAGTATCAAATCTTTTATTATACAGCGATTCAGCATTGCTCAGCATCAATCATCTCTGACTAAAATCCTCGTCTCCCTCTTCTTTCAGTCCAGTTCATATTTGTTGCCTCTATCATCCTTTTTCAGCCACCTTCTTCACTTGATGTTCAATGCTGAGACCTTATTTCTGTCAGCTTCTGAAGATAGCTCTGTGCTGCTGGCATCGAGAGAATAAACTGAACTGTCCTTTGACCTATTCGGTAGCAGCCATATCCCATCAGTCCAAATACTGTTGCTTTTATGACAAACTTGAAGATCTTACTTGAAGCTGATGGAGGAGGCACACTGAAGCAAGAGACACAAAACAACGTTAACACCTGCACAGCTGGAGAGAACAGGAAATTTCCAAATAAAACAAGGATCTTTTCTCCCCTTCCCCTTTCTGAGTGCAGAAGACTTTCAGGTAACAGATGCATCATGAACAAACAACATATTCTTTCATGTTCAAGGGCTACATCCAAATTAAATAGTAACAACAGCAACAAAAAAAAATAAAGCCTTTTCCACTTATGTACGATGCCCCTCAATGGCTACGGATCTTGACTTACTCATCACCCTATCAAAATAACTAAGACAACATCAAGACTTCTTGAGGAATATTAGAAGTTAATATTGTTTGTTGAACTGTTAATAATATTACTATGCACATCTCCACACAGAGACAAAAGTCAGAAGAAACACAGGACACAGCCCAAGTCCAGCACCTGTACAGTCAGCTTACTGTCATTCAGGGTAATGGAGGAAAACAGAGCTTGGATATTCTAGATAAGGAGTGTCAGGACCTGGTCAGGTTTGTGCAGCCAGAAGGGGTAAGTCTGGAGCCAGCCTGGCTCCTCCACAGATTCATGGGGTGTTTCAGCAAGGTGTACCCCTGGATGCCAGGCAGGCTTACCAGTCTAGCTGCAGCTCCCAGCATGAACATGCTGAGGCCAAGTCCCTGCAAGTACTCTCGCACTCCAGAGCTCCACAGAGGACAGTGCAGACAAATCAGAAAGGCTTTGCATGAAGCTGTCTCTGGTCTGGTTAGGTATTGCTGGCTTTGCAATCTTCACAGAGCCACTTGGAAGTCTCTGCACTGGAACCAGAAGGGCAGAGGACAACAGGCACACCAGGTCTACCCCTGCCTTCAAGCAGTCAGTGTATGAAGCAAACAGTTAATATCACCTTCAAACAAAGCTGACTTTGAAAGCACAGCCCCACACACACATAGCTTTTGCACCTTCACTAACAGGCTCTGCAGTAGCTCAGCTGGCCCTGTACCCAGTGCACGCCTGCACTGCAGCTCAGCTAATCCTCACAGATGACAGAGGACTCTGCATGTTGTTTCAAAGAAACCACAAGTTATTATTTATTTCTATCTAGAAAATGTTTCTAATGTATTCAGAAGCAATCAGTTACAGTAGTGCGAAAACATTACAGGCACACTCGGACCAGGTTAGATGTGCTGAGATTAGCATTCAACTAGACTGAGTTTAGATCCATGTACTCAAACTAGGGAAAAGTTAATTACTGGTAAGATTTTGCATATTTAGGGAATATACAGGAAGAGTTTTAAAAAGCATACACATTGAAAAAAGAATGGGGTAAAGGCATCCCTTTACATTTTCTTTTATGCTTCTCTATCTATTCTTCCTCAATTCCACTCCCTTACCAGTGCAATTTGAAAAAAAAATCTATTCATAACAATCTGAAGCAAACAGTGAGGTTTGCTCAGAGTCAGGTTCAATGCATTCACTTAAAAATTGGAAGTATGGGAAATGTACGTATCTATCCAGACGGTTTCCAAGACACTTTGCAACTTGCAAACATTACTAAATACCTGTAAAAGCCTTAAGAACTTTTTACTTTAGAGAGGTGGCAACCACTAACACATAAAAAACACCCATAATTCTGCTCTGCAACTGCAGTACAACAGCATGAAGGGTAAACAAGTTTAACAAGAAATGAGTCTCAAATATAGTAATCTTATGAATGTCATTTGCTTTATATTATTTTAGGAAGTTAATGCAATATTAATATCTTATGAAAGATACTGGTAACCGTTCCACTTAGTTATGGCACTGACATGGTAAAGACAGTCAAATCAAAAAGCCTAAACTGTGATGAAAAAGACCCTCTATGTAAACTTGTAGATAAGTGGTCAGGCTTTGGACTATTCAGTTCTGTAATGTCAATGAGGAAACCAACATTAACCATACAATTATATGGATCTGGGCAACCTTGTTCTACAGGTTATTCGTGAGTATGCAAAACAGTATGGACATCTACTTTGTGACTCCAGGCAAGGCTTAGCCTTGAAAAAGACTTATAAATGGCTAGGCAGGGCTTCTGTACATCGCATTCTTGGATCCAGACACCAAAAAGTCTCTCTAAATCACATTTGAGATACCTAATTATACTATTTAGGTGAGGCTCAGTCTTTTCTGTTTTTCAGAGCCTCTGAAGAGATGGGTGAGGTGCTTACGTAAACACAGTAAACAGATGTGATAAGAAAAAGCGCCAATATTTGAAAGGCTCTATTATCCTAAACCACCACAGACCAGTACTACCAGGTTGTACTATAATCCCTCCTGTATTTCTAAAGTCCTGACCTTTGTGGCTTTATGGGATACACATAGTCTGAAAATTCTGGTTCTTCAATTCCTTCTTTTACAAAGCACAAACGTCTATTTCAAGAGGTCCTTTGGAGCAAGAATTCAGATATGTGGCTTAAGTCAGCCCATATTTAGGTATACACATTAAAACATGTTATTACTTATTTATACTGTTAGAAATAGGTTATGAGCAACTGTAATAGGACACTTGCTGAAGCCAGCAGTGTCCTGACACAACAAAAACTTTGAATCCAACAGTTTATATTTACCTAAGCTAGACTGGAAGTCTGTTTTTTTTTTCACCATCTTCACCACAGACCTCATTTGAATTCTCATTTTAAAAGCCTTAAATGTGGATCAATAAATTTTCTTTCTAGACAAGGGCATCTTCTCATCTCTACTTGGTCACTGGCTTGGTTAAACCACGACATCTCAATATCCAACTATTTACTTTTTTCCTTTGATATTTTCTTTCCCTTTGCTGTAAGCACAATCTGCAAGCACTGCACAGCAAGTCAGAGAGCTGACAGGGCAGGGATGACAGTACTGGTGTTTCTTCAAGCTGTGACAAACAACCAAAAAAACCCCAAACAAACCAATTATAGCTGTCTTTTAGCAAGAGAAGCTGTTATGTCAACACATAGGAAAGGATGACCATTACCTCATTATTTCTTGGATGTTTAAGTCAGAGTTCCAGTTCTTTTCAATTCCAGGTACATGGCCCATCCCAACAACACCAACTACAACAGCTGGAATATATTTTCTAGGTTCAGCTAAGAAAGAGAGACAGAAAAACACATCAGTAAAAGAACTAATTTCAAGCTATAAATAGATAGGTAATATGTGAGATTACAAAACAATTTTCCAAGAGGTAGGGACTCTTACTACTAGATATTAAAACTCTACATATTAAAAGTTAATATTCATCTCACCTACTGCTTCTCATGTTGAAAGTCTGAAAAAAAAATCAGCACAGTTTCTGTATTTTCAGGAAAAGGTTGTTTCAGTAAATAGATCTGGTCAGGGCTTGTACTCCAGCCTGAAGATGAGAGGCTCAGCAGATGCAAACTAAATTTCTTCCTGCATGGGTCATGTTTCTGTACTGCTTATCAGGAACAGCCCTGGTCTTCACTGTCTCCTCAACAGAGGAGCCTTCTCTACCACTCTGGACAGTGGCAGCTGGCACGCATACAAACTGTGACCAGACCTGGGCTAACAAGCAGAATGGGCAATCCAAGATCAGCGCTTGAGATCACACCTGCCCCTGTTAAGCTTACTGTTACAGACTCAGCCTCAGGAAGTAACAGCAAAATGTGTACCACTCGTATGAAGCGGCTGATCAGACAACCACCATTAGGCTACTTCAACACGTGCCACCTCTCACCCTCACCTCCCATCTACCATCCATATTCCACAACTCCCAGTGGAAGTTAAGATGTTGTTCCTGAAAGTTTTGAGATTGCCTCTTCCCCAGTGAAAAAATGGCACCACACCACAATAAAAATAATTCACAGAAAACTAAGTAACAGTAATCAGGCTACTTTTCTATAGGGAAAATTATATGTAAATATAGTACATAAATAAAAACTTTGAGCAAGTCTTACTGCCTTGCTTTAGATATCCACTTCTGATTTTTTCCAGGAAGGAACAAAAAAAATTTAGAAGTGGTCACCTCCCTCGCCAGTGAAACAGAACAGTACAAAAAAAACATTAGAACATTATACACATTTTTAAAATTGTTTCTTTGGACTTTTCTCAGCCTGTTCTAGGGTTGCTCTAAATCAGAGCTGCAACTACTACAGAGGCTGAGCACAGCACCTCAGCAGATCACATCTGCTCCAGCCTCCACCTGTATATTCCTGCCTGCTTCTGGGCAGGATTCAAGGATGATACCAGTAATGTTTAATCCCTGCCTGAAGCTTAGTCCTGAAATAAACTTTTATCCCTCTCAGAATATGTGTGGAATAAAGACAGACTGAAAAACTAAATGTGAAAGTCTCACTTGCAAGCTCTTTGGTAGAGTTCACCCAGGCAAACAGTCAGACAAAGACTAGGAACAGAAATCAGACCTCATTTAGGAATATATCAAACCAAAAGTATATTTGAGTCCTGCAAATAGTGTCCAGGAATTTCCCCTTATTATATCCCTACAATAGCAAATGATTGGGATGATGGTGATGATGCTCTATTTCTGCTCATTTGAATTGTGTGGTTTTGTATTTTACTAGAATCTTAAGCATACACTTTGCCTTTTTTTTTTCTCCTTTTTGCCTCTCATGAGAATCTTGTCTTCTATTTTAAGTCCTTCATAATGCATATAAATCCCTTCCAGTTTCATAGACATTCAATAAACCAGTGACCCAGAGACTGATCTTCTAAGAAGGCAGATTTAAAGGAAGAAAAAAGAGCAGGGGAACTGCTAAACAATTCCTCTCATGGCTCATGACCAAGGCAGGACAACAATAAAAATTTTCAGCCTGCTCTTTGGACCACGTAACTGAATACATCTGTGCCTCTTTTAGCTGTATCAACTGAGCTAACAGCAAACACAGTGTGTTTGGACAAACTTTATGAAGGCAGCATTGAGGTAGTATTAAGCAAGTGAGATACAAGAACACAAGTGCAATTGCCTCACTATTTTTTTCAATCATGAGACAGTGCCAGAGGTCTGCACTGAAGTGACTGCAAACAATATCTTCTTAAGATAGCAAATAAGAGGTAACCCACAGCGCATTATGCTTCTATACAGGAAGGGCACGCAGATCACATATGGCAGCAAAATACTTCCAAAGGCTAGACAAATGCAATTATTCTGTACACCTATACCTTGCTGAAACATGCAGAGTCATAATTTCATCATCATTGCCACATCATCAGGGTTCCTAGCAACACAATTTATAGTAAGCACAGTATGAAGAACACTAAAATCAGAAGTAATTAATTTAGCCATCACTGAGCAGCTAGTGGTGACAATGAATTTGGTGAGATAACGGAGTGGAAGTGTCCCATGCCATGCTGTAATACCAGATGCCTGCCTTTTGAAAAAGTTGTCAGGCTAATTCTGATTAGTATTTTCCAATTTTAAATAGCACAATGAGAAAGGAATAATAATTTGGAATCTACTGCTCTAGGTAGTTGCAATAAAAGAGTAATATCCCTTTTTAAGTACTGTAATCTGATGTGACTTGTGGCACACATGAACAGAACATCCCCGATTCCCTAAGAACGGAACTTTGGACTAGTACATAAAGAACACCTTGCTAGTTATGATATCTGCTTTAAAACAATTACTTTCTGAAGCTCGAGGTAGTTCTATCTGCTTTGCTGCTTGCTTCAGCATGTAGGTCAAGTAAATATCTCGTTCCGAGACAATCGTTCGATGAAGATCAGGAAATTCTCCAATCATTTCTGCCATCATCTGCTCCAGTAAATCCTTCTGCTTGCATTTCTCCACATCATCTTTACTGAAAGAAAGGTAAGTTTTCTCAGTATCTGTTATGCTTTTAAAGCTCAACACAGACAAAGCAATGTATAAAAACAATTTGGTATTATACACATTATTCACCTAAACCCATGCTCTACAGTTCTCCTCCCCCAGTTCTCCTCTCCAAAAGCAAAACCACCTCCTTAAACTTGTAAAACTGAATACCTAACAATGCCTTTGCAGTGAGGGAAAGCAAAAGAAGAGAGGTCACTTGCCTTTAGACAGTTCAACTGGATTTTCACCCTTCCCAGTTTGAAAGCAAACTTAACTGAGCAAAAGCACTACAGCTTCAAAGGCATTAATTATCAGGGTGCCCCACTTTCAGTGTATATTAATAAGCTTAGAAGAGGGCAACACAGAGCACTCCCAAGGAAGCAGTCCTGATCACTGAACACACAGAGGCTCTATTTAAGGAACAAAAAAAGTACACCGTAAGGCACAGTCTGAGGGGATAGAAAGAGTTCTGCAGGTTCTAGTGTCAATCACAGGTTCTCGGCAGGAAAGTCAAAGTTATACATCAATTCCCTGAACAGAAGAATAGGAAAAGGGCAGGAAATAGCACCCACAGCTGTGGTACAGTCATAGTTTGTGGCAACAGAATAATCTGCTTTTGCATCACTGTCTATTGAAAAATGATGCTAGATGTGCTTTCTTTAGTTTCCAAGATTAAAAGGACACCACAAACGCCAACAGAGACAACCAAAAGGAGAAATGCATTGCTAGCTTTCAACAGATCACAGAAACGCCAGACTGACAAAAACATAGATGTTTAATTATGACTCCATTTTCTGTAGAATTTCATGTTAATGGCTGGGTGCAAAATATCCCCCCTACAACTTCCTTCCGTTTTCAACCCCTACCCATGTTATTTTTACAAATCAACGTACCAGATCAATCAATTGTACAACAACTGAGATGCTATGTCCAAACTTCAGGGGAAAACTAGCGTGCATATACTGTAATCATCTTAATATTGCAGTTGAAAACCAAACTGTTCTTAGGATGAATAGAAGAATGGGATAAGTTGCAGAGAAATACATCCTCCAATACCCTCAAAAACCTGCAAATAGTTTCATGCTGGTATGAGGCCAGTAAGTAAGAAAACCTATTTTGTGCATGAACTGTAGTTAATGACAGTCAAACTCATTTTATGGATGAATGTAACAACAAGCATTCACAGGAAATGACAATTAAATAAATGCTAAAACTGGAGAACAGAAGGTTTGATTGACCTGACTAGAGCCTGAGCCCTGTCTCAATTTCAAAAGCCTGAAAAAAATGCCACAGATCTGTACAGAGCTTCCATCACAGGATATGAGAGAGGCACTAAGATTCAGGGACCACATGCACAGGAAACCCATCCCTGGCAACCCATCCCTACCACTGCGAGTCTGGTAGGAGCCAGACTGAATTTAGGAGGACAGCTGTGCATGTGTTCTCACCCAGTTCATGCAAGTCATTACACACCTACTTGTGGCCAGAAGGAAAGAGGAAGCAAACTTGGTGCAAAAATGTCTCTGAAGGGCAGAGGAAACCAAACTGAGCAAGAAAATAGCTGTCTGAGAAGTATTACCATAAGACAAAAGTTCCTAACAATGTCTCTTTAAAAAGGCAATAATCACTAAGACTCCACATGTTGTTGACAGACTTTAAATGTTTTCTCTTGTTCCAAATATCTGCTCAGACAGCAGCCAGTTCTCAAGCTGCCCTAATCCAGATGCAATTTAGCAGAGCAGGCCCGCATGCTCTGAAAAACTTGGGGAAGTATAAATTAGCATACTGAGGCCCTGCTCTCTTCCATTTACACTATCAACAACCCAGTAGTGGGAAAGATTTTACTTTCAGCATAAAAATCAAATAAAAAAAATTTTTTTAAAGTATACTAGGAATTCTCCAGCACCAAATCTTTCACTTCACCTGGAAGTAATGCATCAAAAGACAGATAAATAAAGAGCAGGAACAAGATCAGAAAGCATCTTTCTTTTCAACAATATGGACTATTACGGGGAAGTTTGTATATTTATCCTCCTCACTAACTTCAAGTTTCCCTGCATCAGGCTGGGTACTGAGGACTTCCAGCTCCTACTAAAGTCAAGCTGAAGAATTGAACAATTCACCCCAATAAACATATGGGATGCTTATCCATACCTGATTGGGTCAGATAAGAAGCAAAGGCCCCAGGCAAGCTTGACTTTTTGCCAGAAAGAAAGTGCAGCAATTGCTCTCTTAAATGTAACAGGGATGGGTCGGTCTCCAAGATGGAATTTACAGAAAGGTACTTTACTAGCCTGAAAGAGAAGATACAAATCACTAGTCAACATTTCATACTGCAGTACAGTACATCCTTATTAAGTGAATGTTTGCTTCATTGTGTTATACAAGGTATCTTAAAAAACAGCAAATAGTGTCATATTTCAACATAAAAAAACCCCACTTTGGCTTTGCAGTAAATACAATTTCTACAATACTATTTCATAGAAGAATACCTCAGCTACAAGATGCAGTAGATATTATAGTAAAAACATTAATTTGTAGTGCCACTCTCTTTAGGCTACTTTTACCTAAACAGAAAGATCCTGCTTATGATTACTTAAGGGGAATAGATGGGGCTTAATATCTATCTGGGTCTGAAGAAAGTCAAACATGAAATAACTGTGGTAATTTTGTTTTTTTACCTAGGATTTGTCAGGATCACAAACCTATCAGTTTGTCATGGTAAAATATATTCAAGAAGGAACTTAAACAGGAACTGATGCCAGATACCACATGACAATGCTTTGCTGTAGCTTAGCAAAATTTTAGCACAGTACAGGATTTCTTGCATACATGGTTAAAAATTTCAAACCACCACTTCAGAACAGGACAGAACTAATATATATTATTTTCTTTCCCACTTAAAATGGGAAACACTTAAAATGTTTCATTCTGGTCTGGAATGGTCAGGAAAATAAGTCTTGAAACAGTTTGCTTAAGGATAAATACACAAAATTATTCCAGATTCTTTAACAGCTCTCTCAGATTTCCTTACCTAATTTACATAAAATAGCAAGATACATTCTGCAAGTAGATAGATACAGTGAAAATAATGTCTCAGTATTCCCAGACAAAAAAGAATAACTGTGACATACAGTAGAAGTCCAGCTTCTATTTACTTCCCAGTACCACAGCTGACAGTAGTACAAAAGGGAACGCAAAAAGACGAGACAGGACTAGCAGACCAGATACTTTACTTCCCCAAACATTCTTTCTAGATTAATGTGTTAGATCTCATTAATGAGTTCGTTTTCACAGCCTGAAACCCTGACACCAATTGTGCCACCAGGATTCACACCCAGAATTCAAAAGCAATTTAACAGGAACAAGATAAATAATTTACTAACAAAATTAAACCAAATACCATCAGAAATATAATCAGAAAAAAACCTTATCACATGAAACCTTTTTGGAGTTGCTTTCATGCCACTTAGGGCTACAAACTTCTGTACTTTGAAGTACACTGTGAAGCTGAAGATCATTCTTAACTACATCATAGGCTTCAGCACAAGTATGGCCAGAGTGCTCTTTTCTAGTCACCAACAAATGGTTTTCTTTAGTTCAACTCTGTGAGCAAAAGGCCAGCAATTTGACCTCAGAAAAACCACTTCAAGTTCACACCTCTTTGAAAGCCTCCCTGAATTCTCCTCCTGGAGCCATTCCCAGCTGTTCTGTGATGTGGGCAGACACCTTCAGAAGCAGCATTTGCATCAATCCAGACATGACTCCATTCTGGCGAAAGAGAGAGAAAAGCATTAAAAAACCAAAATCAACAAGCTATACGGATTTCTCTGAAGAAGAACGCACTGCTCACAATCATGAAAAAAACCACTCATTATGTTAGTGAAGAAGCAGCACAGAAGCTACCTTTTGGAGCCAATCCACTGATCACTACAGCTCTTTTATTTCAAACAGTTCTGAAGTAGCTTTTCCCTTCAGTGTGCAGTTAAAGTATTCTCCTATTCAACAAAAATGTACAGCAGAGTTAAGAAAGGAGAGCAGCTAGACTTAATCTGTATTTACTACACCTGCTTGAAGAAAGTGTTTGAATAATTGAATGGCAAAACAGCTCATACTGTGCTTTTAATTTTTCTTGACTGACCTGGTTACAAAAAAAAGGGGAGCACGAGTTCATTCCATTGAATGTACAATGAACACCATGTAACAGAGATACTGAAAGGGAAATAGCTAGGGTTCTAATCATAAATACTCCCACAAAGCTGGGAAACATGAGGCTGAGCACTGGTTAGGTTAACATCCACAGAAACACAGAGAATCCAGTGTTGTGCAAGAAATTGCTGTGCATGACTTCAGCACGTAAGACCTTAGAAGAGACCTCACAGTCCTGAGTATGACTCACTCCTACAAGCAGACCAAAGGCCCGTCCTCCCACATAGTCTATTATTTTTTATCAGTGGCTCAGTGTTACCTGTCCTAAAGTGCAACCTGTACCTTGGTTACACTTCTCCTCCAGTTTGGCATCAGTCTGTACCACCACCAAAAGAGGTGTTCCCCCTTTCCTTACCAAAGGTTAATTTCCTGCTATATTACCAGCTTCACACAACTGAAGATGAGGTTACATAGGATAACTTGAGTTAATATAACTGCTTGAAGTTACCAGAGGAAGGAAGGTCCTGGTCTCAATTCCTTGCTCCCAGGGCCATGCTCAGATGACCCACCCTGTGCCAGCTCTGATGCTTGTGTGGCCTCTCCAAAGGCTGTAGGCAGTTTCTGCACTAAGTGGATTCAACAGTCACTGAGGACCATAACTGGCAAAAGAGAGGGGCTATTTTCAAAGCAAATTGATTATCTGCTTTATCGTGCTTAAACCTTTAAAGAGGTTGCCCAGGGAAGTTGTAGATGCCCCATCCCTGGAGGTGTTCAAGGCCAGGCTGGATGAGGCTTTGAGCAACCTGGTCTAGTGGAAGGTGTCCCTGCCCATGGCAGGGGGGTTGGAACTTGGTGATCTCTAAGGTCCCTTCCGACCCAAACCATTCTATGATTCTATGCTACAAACTAGCAAGCATGGCACATTTTAGGAATGACTGACTGACATCAGTAGTCATCAACCAGAAAGACAGGGCACTGGGCTCCTGGGAAGAGACAAGGAGGAAAGAGGACTGTGAAAAAAAGGGTTTTCAGCATCCTTGAGATCCAGCTCAAACGCCTCGGGGATAAGGGTTTCCAGAAGTTCAGAAAAGATATCCACAAAGAAAAGAAACCTAGGATAATGAAAGCTGAGGTCATTTGCTGGTTGATCTCCCCCTCAGGACCACTGTATTTTAAGTTGCATTTTTACATAGTAACAGAAAGGGATAACAGAGGGATACATCTTTGAAGTGCACCCAAGCTGTTTGTGCTCTTAACCTGCATGAAACTCGGTGCCTGCCATATTTGCTCAGCATCAAGGAGATAAAGGGTGACAAGCAGCCGTATGTAGCAGCAACCAGGAACAACTGGCCAGCCAGAAACTGCCAGAGATAAAGAGCAAAATGCAAGTTAAAAATGAAGAGAGCAAAACACTAGAAGACGTTTTTATCTATATCAGATTATTCAATGTCAGATAAAGGAAAGCTGACCATAAAAGAACATTAAATCCTGAGTGGTGGACAATGATTTCACAGGTTGTATGCAACAGTCAAACACAAAGCAATGCTGTCCTGGTTTCAGCTGAGACAGAGTTAACGTTCTTCATAGTAGCTAGTGAGAGGCTGTGTTTTGGATTTGTGCTGAGAAGAAGGCTGATAACATACTGATGTTTACAGTTGCTGACAGGACAGTCAAGGACTCTTCAGCCTCTCTGCTGTGCCAGTGTCAGCAGGTGCAGGAGAAGCTGGGAGGGAGCACAGCCCCAATTACGAGTCTAGGATTTGATCTTAGGTTTAGGATCGAGACCCAAATCAGCCAATAGTCTATTCCATATCACGCACATCATGCCCTGTATATAAACATGGGTCTGTCCAGAAATGTGCTCTCTTTCCAGGTCATCTCTCTCTGGGTTGCCCCTTGGTGAGTGAGCAGTTGTTGTGGTGTTTTGCTAGCCAGAGTCAAAACCACAACAAATACGTATAGAAAGAAACTTAACTGCACAGGCAGAGGGATGCAGAGCTATTACAGCACACAGGGGAGAGAAAGTGAAGTACCAGTTTTATCAGTCCAGTGTTCAATAGCAGTCAGAATGCAAGAGTGAGAGGGATTACCATTACCAGGAAAGAGACAAAATAGAAACCATCAATGTGCTGCTGCATAATCTTTAGCAGACTCCTGTCCTGAAAACAAGATACTTGAACTACAAAAAGCGCAAAGAAATACCAAACATACTAGATGAGATTAAACATATTAAATGCTCATGAGGCTTGGGAAAGGATGACTGAGGAAGATACACTCTGTCGGACACTGGACATCATGACTAGCATGGAGACAGTGAAAAGAACAGAAAAAGAGAGGAATAACCAGGCAAGGTACAACTGCAGTTTCTAATGCCCTTCCCCCAGCATCTTTTATTGGCAGCTCTCAGAGGGCTTCTGGAGCAGATAAATCTTCCACCAGAGTCAGCACTGCCACGCTTATACTACATATGGGAACACAGCCTAAAGAGGGCCCTTGCAGCTACTCTTGACTGAATAACAAGTCACAGACCCCACACTGACTGCAGAACTATGGGGAAAAACAAGCTGCTTGTATATTAGTCCTCTGGATTTCTTCTTTTAAAAACCCTTTTTCCCATGGATTCCCCAGGCAAACACAGCCTTGACACATAGAGCCTTGAACTACTGCTGCAAGTGCACTGGAGGTTAGATTAAAACTGCAAGCAAAGGAAGGTAGTAAGTGCCAGCAGCCAGCTCCTGTCCATAGGGATGCATCCTTCATCTACCAATTCACATTACATCCATTTTATTTAATGGGACAATCCTGCAGCTTACCTAAACATGGAGGGCTGTATTACACCGTGCAAAATGGTACTCTTTTTTTACTGGCCAGAAGCATTAAAATAAAAATCACTACAATATATCCCCACACAGGTAACTTCATGCTAAAGGAGTAGCTTAAAAAAAAGGGAGGTTGAGCTAAGATTTTGCTGCCACCAGCCCACTTTCTTTTCTGCCCCAGAACAAGATTTCTCAACTCCTCCTCTGCATCAGGACCAGCAATCATACGGACACAGAGGGACACAATGCAGCTAAAAAGCAAGTCCTGTTCAGTCTAGCACGGGGCCATGCTATGGACACAGAAGGGACAGTGGAAACAGGAAACCGGGGTGAAGATAAGACAAAACCTGTCCTACCAGTTTGGTTTAAGACAACTGTTACTGTGCACCTTCAGGTCATCTGCATTTGAGCCAGATACCAGTCTGCACTCTGTTGCTTTGCTTAAGGGAAAGCAAACAGGTAGTTCTCTGCAAACCATACAGGTTTTGAAACTCAAGGAGGGCCTGGAAGAAGGCTGCTTTTAACCTGCAAGAGTCGCTTGATAAGTCGTGAATGCCAGTGACCCACTGCACGTGTGTTTCGTATTAACACTGCTCAGCTTCCAACTTCAGTTAAGGACAATGAAATGCAATTTTACTGCTTAAGATTTATACAAGCGATTATAAAAAGACAGTTTTCCTAATTTGATACTCAAGGATGAATGTTACAAACAGTTTTGACTTTTGGTGTAACTTTCAGCCCTGAATGCACATTTCAATAAGAGAGGATGACTAAAGCATGACTGAGCAACTTACCAGCTGGTTTGATTTTTACTAGAGAAAAATAAAGATACCATAATTTAGTATGAGATAGTTGGTCTGGTTTTGATGGTTTTCCCTATATAACCCATGCTGCTACTGAATCAAAGAGAATTTTAAGGGGTTTTTTGGTTGAGAATATAGATGAAGAAATATATTATTTAAAAGGCACAATGGCCAAATTTTATTTTTATTTACATTATCTCTTGGGGCAAAGGAGATCCTTTCTATTGTTACAGCTCAATCTCTGTATTATTCTCTGTTTTTGGAGCCAACACAGTCTGCTTTTCCTACTGTCTGCACACAAGATCACTTCACAGTGCTTACGGGGTCAGAAGACTCCCAGCTACACTGCTTTGTTTGTTGTGAACATGCATTCTTTTGGCTACATGCATCAGAACAATCCACCTCACCTAAAATAAACAGATAGATGCAGTAATTCATGCAATATGCAAGTGTTTTGCAATGTTCTTTCCTTTGACAGGACAAAGAAAACAGGAAAGACCCATTATTACCTAACTGTATGAGTCAGAAAGCCTTGCACTGACACTAAGTTCACGCACACGCGCGAGCGCACACACACACACACACACACACAAGTAGACTAGCCCCAGCCACTGCTAGTGCTTCTGCACAGGAGCAGATTATATTCTTATGATGGGTGCAATCCTGGAAATTCCTCAATTACATCAACAAAAAAATTTCAATATATAATTACCACACAACCAAAATAACAATCTATGACTTTGTTCATTCAACTGGACACTGGAAATAATTTTTACTATTAACCACATACTGCCACATTCTAATCAGAAGTTCTATCATTTTTTAAGTCAACTTTGTGCTGTTTCACTGTGTCTAGCTTAAAATTACTTACATACAAGCTAATTGGGTGAACTGAAAAAATATAGGACAACAACTTGTTTTGCACACACATCCCACATGGCGTCAAACAGCCAGAATAGTTATAATAGAATGAATAGAATCCCCCACTTTTAAGCTCAGATTTTTCAAAAACCTCCCTCAAGGCCTACTGTCAATGAGAAACTACTCAAAAGACAAGTAGATGAGAATTAAAAAGGAGGAGCAACACACTAGGATGAAAAAGGAACGCAACTAAACAGATCATGACAGACAACACCAAAATTAAGTGCTCCATAAATAGCTGTGATACAGACTGTGGGACTAATAATCATATTTCAATATATTAGGAGAGCACTACAATTACAAAGTTAGACTCATGTTCTGCAAATTGAGCAAATGTTAAACCCAGGAGGATTCCTGACAACGTTAACAACTGCCCAAACAATCCTGTTGTGGAACAGAAGACTTCAATACTCCAGCTGAAAAAAAAAGAAAAAAAAAAACCATACCACCCCACAAAACAAACTTAACTTTACCACTGCAATAGTACTCTCACCTTGGTGAGCCATACTAGGTTCCCAGCTTAATGGAACACTGGTTTTGTTTGTAACTTGACAAACTGCTCTCAACACAAAACTTTAATTCTCACCGTGGGAATCATACCTGCTTTATAGCTTGTTGAAGTTTTTCCAGATTTATTTCTTTGGCTTCTTTTAGTAATGTTTTTTCATCCATCTTTAACATAGAAACTCTGTACTGGCATAGTTCCACCACAACTACATCAGGTTGCACTTCCTGTATTGTCTGAAAAATATGAATTTATTTACAGCACTTTAGGAAGGATTAAACAGAAATGCAGCTAATAGTGATACTTTCATGATAAAAGGGACTGAATAAAAGCATGTTCCAGCAATAATTTTTAATTAAATAAACAGTGAAAGAGCAAATAAGACTTCTCCAAATAGCTATGTATTGAGAAAAACATTAAGGAAGATGATAGCTAAATGCTTTAGCTACTGAATGCTTCCAGACAGGAAGATGGAGACTCACAAATTGTGTTGGGGGGCATGGAGGGGAAAGACCTTGATGTTAAGCTTCTTTCATGTTTATAAAGTTCCTTTAACCATACTATGTGATCATTTGCACTCTGAATTACAATAAGCTTTGTAAGAACTAGGGTTGACAATTCTGGCACAAGATTCCTTCCCCTTTAGCTCCTGGAGAATAAAGCCACTCTAAACTGCAGACTTTACATGAAGTACAGCATAAAACAATTCGTACTCTCACTAAAGCTTCAGACCTATTTGCATCTGGAGAATGGAACACAGGTTTTGGGGCACCATGGTTTTATAAGCTCAGTATTACACACCCTGGGCACAGAGAAGCTGTAAACTGCAGCTTCTGTTCTAGGCTTCGCATCTTCTCAGCACATCCCCGTCACAGTGAGTATGCAACAACCACACTACACACTGTTGGTATGATATGACGCTGTATCAAGCAGGGTAAGTGTCATTAGTGAGACTTCTACTTTTAACACTGGCACTGTATCCACATTTGTTGCTTAAGGACAAAAAAAACATTTGGGATGGGAAAGCAATGGATTGCATTAAAAAAATTAACATAATATGACTGCCTCTTAGTTCACCTCATAGTGCTGTTAGCCCTCCAACTGCTAACTTGCGAAAAACAGTCCGGAGGTTACAGATCAAAACCAAATCAGCGAGTTGGACTTTATTCTCCTCATTGCTAAGTTGACAACATTATAAATATGCTGTTGTAGGATGTCAGCTTAGTATTTACCTTCACTACATCCTTTTTGCTGCTGTCACTGAAGTGGGATGTTCCAACCACATATACTTTAGAACCATCCTCGGTGTCAAGCTCAGTCACAGTGCTTGGTAAAGTAGGCTTTTTCTGCCTCTTCTTCATCTTCATCTCCAGAAGAATTTTAAATGCATCTGCATCAGCTATAAATGTAAAGGGAAACAGAAAAGCACACATGACTATAAAGTGCATGTAAATAAAACAGAAAACAAAAATGTCACCACTAAACAGCAGAGCAGAGCTAAAAGGCCATTGATTTACCACTGTAATCTTACATTCAGTTCTGAGGCTACATCATTGAGAATGCCACCACTGGAGAGGCTGCCTCCAAGCATGGGTCTCAGTCCAGGTTTCCTACCCTGTGGACACTGGGACAGGTTGTCCACGCAGTTCAGTAGAAGCTGTGTGGCAGGTGAGGCGGACAGAGAAGCAAAGAATACTTAGAAAAGGTATACACTAAATTAAAAAAAAAGCATTTTCTTAACTGTAGAACAAAAGCGCTCCCTTTTGGGATTTTATCTGTATAAACAATAGCAACACATGTACACTGGTGTGAATATGCTGTTAAAGTCACCTGCACATATTGGTACTGGTAGGTATCCTATCTTAGCCTTTTCCATTATTAACACACCAGGCATAAGTATACAAATGAAAACTAAACCTTAAGAGGCATTCAGGTCAGCAAGTCAATCATTCTTCTCCAGTTTCAACAACAAACTATTTAAGATCAAAATGGTACAGTGTGAGTTCAGCCCATCTGTATCAAGCTTGCCATGGAAAATAGGAAAATCTATCAGTTCCATCAGAAAGCCTCATTAACTGAGATAGCGAAGCTTCAGTCGTACATCAATGGGAAACACAGTAACTTTGAATAGAACTATATAGAATATAGAACTTCGAATGAGTTATCTTTAATCTGCAATGCTTCTGAGAAAAAAAAAAACATCAAGTAGGAAAGCAGAGTTTCATTTCCAACCAACTCTTTCTCTGGCAAGCTGCTGCACAAGTTAGCAGAGGTCTCAAGTGGTCCAGAAGCCTGGAATAGGATCATAATCCCAGGAAAAAAGAAGGGTTAGTGAACAGTTTGCAAGAAGGATGTTAAAGATGCAGATAAATTACAGCTTCCTACCATTACATTAATTCTTTTCATTAATCTGGTTTAAGTATATGGCTCTGGCTCCACATCTGTCCCACAAATACTTATTTCACGGGATTTTATGTCAAGAAAACCAAAACCCAAAACAATGGCCACACTCCAACATCCTTCTTAATTAGCAGCCTACTACTTTACAGACAATACTCAAGAACAAGGTTTGTTGCAATCAGTACAGTCTGATCTAAGACCATGCTGCTGCCAAAACAGATGGCAATACTAAGGAGGGGGTGGAGAAAATATGACTGTAAAAGGAAGAGGAAGAAGGGCTGTTGCATTTGTACCATTCTCAGTCACATAATCATAAAAGCAGCCATAGCCCATCAATCAAAATCTACATAAGCAAATATCCTGTCTCCCACAATGGTCAAAAGTGGGTATCTAAGGAAGAATACAAGAAATGGGGAAGTGTGCACAGTATCTGCCCCAAATACTCTGCTAGCCTAAAGCCATTTATGCTTCAGATTCCCCCAGTTCAAAGTAGTTTCTACATATTCAGTAACCCTTAAAGGATTTCCTTTCTATTAATTTTTCAAGCCTTCACCTCATACATATATTCAGAACTAGACTGAATAATGAAAAATTGCTATAACAGTACAGTACCAGATGTTATCATTTAAGGACATAATCAATAAAAACATTCTCAAAAGCAGCTACAATTTTTATTAAACCAATTTCTATATCTGGAGAAAAAAGCAACATAAAAAATTAATCTGCTTCTTTAGGTCCGAATGCTTTTCCTATTGCTTCAGACAAGGCTCTGTTTGCTCCCATGATTATTATTTCTGAAAGCCGTGATCCCTAGGGATTATTCAGCAACTTCAGCATTACAGTAATGCTGCTGTTACCCCTACTTTGCCTTAAGGTGGTTTAGAGCCTTGTTATTTGCCAGAAAGCACAATCTAAATGTTCCTATTGTTCAAAATAAGGATTATACACATTAATATCACAACAGTACACCAGTAAACACAAAGCAAATCCTAACAAGCCTTTGTTTTCTCCTCCTGAGAAACACGTCTGTCATTATCTGATCCTTACCACTAAAAGGTAAGGACTGGTACTCTCCTTGGGCTTCACGAAACAGTTTCGTCTGGAATACTTCTATTCCCATATCCTGCAGGCTTGGCCTTCATATCAAAACATCACGCTGGCATGCCTAAATTATTCCACCTGGGACAACTGATTGAATATCATAACACTAGGTGCCAGAATGCTGAAGCAAACATGTACTTATTCATCTCTGGCTTAGAGAGCAACGACCAAGCTGAAAACAATAGCTAAGTATATATATTAAATCAAAACCCATTTACTTTCTTTTGAAGGCACGGGAGCAACAAACTGACAATCAATGTGTCATCGCTATTTCCAAATTTGGTTTACGCAACTAGGCTTTTCTACAAATCATGAACAGATTAAGTCAGATACAACCTCATTTATATCTCCCTTTTGTGCTAACAGCCACACCCTTATGAGGCAAGGAAAAGGCATGGACATTTAGCTTAATATACTTCCACCATGATACACCCTCCCCAGTCAAACCAGAAACATACAGATATTCTGCGATATGCTTGACGTTTCCTTTGGGCCATCTTCTGGTGCATCAGAGGAGGACATTGGATCTGCAGCAGCCTGCATGAAACAAATTCAAAAGGAGGCTGGGAATTATAATGAAATGTTTTAATACATCTTTCCCCTTGTGAGCTTTCTTGATTGGAACCTACATGTAATATTCAAGCAAGTAAATAATTAAAGCAGTGTCAAGAGTTCAAAATGTCTGTGGCTTTACAACTGTTTTTCTCCTGGCTGGATAAGTATGAGAAAGAACCTATTAAAAATTAATTTAAAATATAATATTTATACTTGATCTAGAGTTTTAAAAAAACCTGATTCTAGAATAAAAAGAACAAATTTCTCTAACACTACTATAGCGTTTTGTGTGTTGGAAACTTAAACGTGCACTGATTATTATAATACCATTGCCACTTATAAGATGGCATATTTGATTCCACTACCAGTCAGCATTACTCTGTCAGGACTCTGACAAAGTTAATCAGCACTCCCAATAATACACATATCCATTCAAGAAGAGTTTGCTCAAGTATTTTATTCTTTCTGTTAGAATAAGTGTAAGGTAATTACACAATATGCACACCCAATGTTATAAAATGTATGTGTTTGTTGACTTCATAGACAGAGATCAAAGAGTCAAAAGCATGAAAAGCATCTGCATAGTTTTGCTCCCTAAAGGATCAGCAGGTAATTGAAAAGACTGTCAAAGACTGACACTTAAATATTATTACTAGAAGCATACAAGGCAGGTCTTTGACTAACAAAACCTTTCTTATTTCTAACGAACAGGCAAGTTTTAAAACCTGTGCATAGAATTCAAACAATTCCAGTCACTCAGTCTATGTCATCCAGGCTGGAGAGGTAAAGCTAGTGCAGAAAAGAGAGAACTTAACAATCAGGGAAAACTTGATTATAAGCTATATCTAGGCAACTACATTAATTCAAAGATGCATCAGGATAATTATTGGGAGAATCTGGAACTCTTGAACAACACTAAATCAAAAAGTTAGAGACAGGATGTGAATCCATCATCATTCAAGTACCTTCCAAATGAAAGGCAGTATTAATGTGTCAGCAAGCAGGCAGCCAAACTCTCCTGAAGGATGCCAGCTTTTTGGCTGGAATGACAGGTTTATTTACTTTGCACTTAACCTGGTAAGTTTTAAAACAGGATTGTACAAAGCACATCCAATTGTTAGGAGCTCTGAACAAGAGTCATTTCTTCATGCATTCCATTATGCCCATTTTCAGATAATAAATCCTGGGTGTCTTACTTTGGCCCCACTGAAGATAACACAAAATTTGTCATTGAATTTCATGGAGTAAGACCAAAAAGTGCAAGAGCTCTATAGCACAAAGTTTAAAACATTCACAGCAACATATCATCCTTTTGCTACAAAGCAAAAGTCTGTTCATGGACAACTGCAAACTGCGATTATACCACAAATTGCAATTACATTCACAAATCTAATTTAACACCAGCTCAGCTTTTGATCACAACATATGGCTTGACTCTACTGCTTGCATACGTAACTCTAGTCATAAAAATATCTTGAAAAATGTATCCATCTGTAACATATGGAATTAATCCTGTCACTTATGCTGGCTTTGTAATCGTAACAACATTACAACATAGCAGTGGGAAAAGCACTAAGCACCACATTAAGAGTCTGATATTCCCTTCTTTTTTTAACTAACAGGACACAGAAACTGACATTCTTATATCTCATAAGAAAAAAATTTCCCTGAGCCTTACCTATTACACTGGAAAAAGGTTTTGAGATATAGGGATATAAAAGGAGAAGGAACAGAAACTGTAGAAAAAAGCACCTTATTTTAAATTGTCAAGGTACTCAACCTATGTACAGTGACATCATTCATATACAATTTGTACGGTTTACTCACACAACATTGTTTCCTCTTAACTCTTTAAGCTCATAGGTTAAACTATTTTCTGCAATGCCTCACTTGCAAGAAATTCAATACAAAAGACCCTTTTTAGCTTCTGCAATTGTAAGGAAATGGACCCTGAAAAAAAGCTAAATGTACCCAAAAAACAGCACTCAGCCCCCCACCCCTTTTAAAAGGGGTCTCACACAGGTAGTCTTGACCCCCAACTTTGCAGACCTTCCCTGAGGATGAATGGAAGAACCTTGCTGATTCACTCTTGACCTTCCCTGTAATTCTACTGAGAAAAAAAAAATCTTCAGCTCCAAGCCCTACCTCAGGCTGTTGCTCCTCTTGCATCCCTGCAGCGTAGGCTTATTTTCACCAACCACACAAGAACTACAAGAAGTAAAAGGAATGGAAGAGAATTAAAAATTAACAGCACAATCCATATTTAAGAACTATAAGAAAAAAAAAAGCAGAGGCATCTGTATCATCTCTGATAAAAGTTCAGTTGATGAAAATTCAAGAAATAAAAGAGGCAAACTGAAGATGCACAAATGCCACCTGTTCAACTCTGCTGCTGTTAAAAAACCCCTACAAACCAAGAGAACAAAACTATCAGAAGGGTAAAACTAGCCTGTCTCAATCCAGTTTTTGAGTTGGGTCTAAATCCAGAGCATGGTTCTGTTCTCACACACTGAGAATACCATGATAAACAAGGGTGGATTTAATGGGAACTCAGAATCTACTTTTTTTCCTATCTCAGATTCTGAAAAAAAATGACTTTTTTCCTCCAGATCACTCATAAGTAATTGCAGATACAGGATGGCTGTCAAAAAGGTTTCAGCAGCAGCAAAAATCTTGCTCAACTAGATCACTAGTTCTGTCTTGTCCAAACAAACTATGTCAAAACAGTTTTTAGGCAAATTTTAGGAATTGTCTATATATCTGGGACTTCACTGCTACAAAGACTAGGAGAGCAGTCACGGTCTTAATATTGAACTAGAGACCACACATATTATTATCAGATCTGCATCATGTTATCATGTATATGTTATCATGTATATATTTATGTATATATGCCAGGGTCAGAACATCAGTAAGATCACGCCTGTGTGAAAAAACCCTGGGAACTGGTTTTTCAAACCCTTTGTGAATGGTTTCCATGTCCTATTTTTCAAATTCCTTCTTCCAGCCATATTATTAAAGTTCAAAATTTCTCCCTGTAGCTGGCAGAGTGCTATGATTTGACTTCGACCACACTCTAACGGGATCGCACAAGCTGCTGAATGCATGACGAGTGCTCATTCTGCTTATTCTCACTGCTATCCCACTAAAACTGACGCACTCGAAGGACATGCTGCTCCTTCACTACAGCATTTTGGGTTACCTCCCTCTGACCTGTTTCACAGTATATGTGAACAGTGTTGTGTTTTATTAGACTGGGGAGCAGTCCTGATCAACTTACTTGTACAACACATTTGCAGCCTTGCCCTGAGGAGCAGAGGGCCAAGTTAGGCTCCTGCCCTACACCCAGGTGAGGTTGGAGGAAAGACAGCTGGAGCCTGTGAGACAGCACATCAGCATGCAATTGCTATGGCAGAAGCCCCCCCTCCCTCCCCAAATGCAACAGTCTCCTTGAGTCTGATTAGCACTCTACACCTTGGTTTCCAGCCTTTGTTTCCCAGTAAGTTGTTTTGCTTTCTACCTTTGCTTAAAATGTTTACAAAAAGAATGTTCACCTGGGCAGCGTGAAGCATGCCAGTGTAATTCAGACAGCAGGCACGCCTCCCTCCACACGGTACAGAGGGACTTCAGCAACTCACGCCTTCGCGTTGTCCACTGCTAGTGGTCAGCCATCAAACCGGAGATCACAGCTGCAGGCTGGGCAAGAAAACACGTGGAGTGAGCAAGAGCCTGGCTTTTGCATGCTCCCTGGAGCAAGTCCCCACGAAACCCAGAGTCTTGTGCCCTGAGCAGGCAACAGCTACAGACACAGCTCCCAAGCTGCAAGGCTAAAACCTTGTTAAAACAAAAACTACACACTGCAAACAGTCCAAGAGGTTCAGCTTTATTCGAAAACATGCAAGAAGTCTGCACAGCCAACGTAAGTGCTCCATTATTTTTGCTATAACACATAACATAAATTTAAAACCAGGACCGTGTCTCCCCCCTTTCCAAGGAGTCAAGTCAAGGAAACTTGGATGTTGGAGTAAGTTGAAATAGCACACGAAGCTGAACTGCTCCTTGCCACTTCAGCATTTCCACGATTCACATGTGGTGTGGACAGCTCTAAATAAGCGCAGAAGGAAACTTCTTCCTCTGGACCTGCAACCTGAAAAGGGACACGCCAGCCCGCTGACACCACACACCAGACTGCCTGGCCAGCGTTGTCTGGTGGTGCTGTGGGCTTAAGTGAACCTACCACCTGTTTTTACCCTGTCCTCTGATAGACTGGTTTAACTATTTATTGACTTGTGCAGTAAACCAGACTGGAGAACAGATTCAGGTTAAAAACCAACATTTTTTCCCCACCCTACCAAGGCATTTGAAGCTCAGATGACCAAACAGCTGCAGGAACAACCGTGGCAGCAAAACTGAAGGGACAGTATGAAGAGGAGATGCTGAAACCAACACTGCCCTCTGAGAAAATATTTGTTCAACTACAACATCAGTCAGGGGCATACCAATACTCTGATGCTCAGCTCGGGGCTTGGTTCTTTACTGGTTTATGTGCAAAATACCACAGTATTTTTCTGCCAGTGAATCAGCTGACCCTAAATACAAACTGAAGTTCTAAGCTTGGCTAAGGCCTGCCAGGGTTTGAAAACATGTGGATTATCTATGGGAGTGCTCTTAAAAATACTGAACGGCAAGTTTCAGTTAAAGAATAGACTTCTATACAGAAGCACCTAGTGATTTTTTCCACCAAGTGACATTTCAGAAAACCTCATCTCATTCTCACCACTGGGTAAATTATGTGTCTGATATTGGAGAGAGCGCACTTAAGCTAGCTAGCACTGCTTTTTATCCGACCTGTACAACCTCTGGAGAAAGCAAAGCTGTTCAGTGTGGTTCCCAGCTCCACCATAGCACGGTTCCAGCCTCTGCCGGGAACCCACAGCACAATACTGAGATGGTCAGATGAGAGGCCGGGCAGCCACACAGACAGGCAAGTCTGCCCCTGCTTTCTTCTAGGAGATCTTGTTCTCAGGCGCTTAGATCTGCTCAAGATCCACCACAAGTGAAATTTTCCATGCAGAAGACTTGTTTCTGGATTTTTTTTTCTTTAGAATATGTCCAGGAATACAGATTATTCAGTCAACACGAAGAAAACTTACAACCGGCTGTCAACAGTGAACTAAAACCCAACTGAATAACTGCCATGAAAATCTGCATGTGTTCAAGTTCTTCCTTAGCGTGAAGGACGACAGGCACAAAACATGTCAACACCAGAGTACAGATAAGGCTGGCTACTCAGCTAGCCAGTGTCCTCATCAACCACCTCAGAGAAAGGACACATATATTGGGAACTAGTCAAATACCATGGACTCCAGGCTGACCTCTCATCCACGTAGAGAGATTACCATCCCCATACACTGATGTACTCACAGAAGATATCCACATCCCACAATACTTGAAATGTTAATCAGGAAAACTCTGAGAAAGGACTGAGCATACCTTGCTGATACACAGACAAGGAACTGAAGCATATGCATCTGTATGCACTTCCTCCCCCCACATCCAGCTGTGAGAAAAATGGTGTCGATTCAGATCAAATCCTGCCAAGCATCTGGGCCACTTAAATCCAAGCATTTCCGGATTTCCTAGAGCTTGGTTTTTCAATGTTGCCCTTTCCCTTTTTTGTTAAATGAAGTTCAACTTCTTAAAGAAATGAGACTAGGCAACAAGGCAGAGCTTATTTGTCTGTGCTTTCTAACCCACGGGTGAATCTTAAACTAACTTGGCAGGGAGGTGTCTCACAGTCATTTAGTGTGTGTGGAACACTCCAGGAAAAAAAAGATTACTGAAGATTACAGGGGATAGTGCACGGGCATGTGAAAAAAAGGAGGTCAGCAGAACCTGCCAGGGAACAGAAGGAAATTCAAACCAAAGTTGTAAAGCCACAGGCAAAAGACAGGTTCAGACAATTATTTATTGTGTCCCATAATATGTATACCACAACATCTCATAACCTCGAGTTTTTCTAATTAGCGTGGGATTTGGCATGAACATGTGAAACCAATCAAATGGCTCTCCTCCAGCTACTTCAAAGGCCTGTAAGAGGCCTTCATGAGATAAATCACATATTGAAAATCTCAGATATGACAGTGCATTTCTTTCAGACATCTGGGAGATGCAGCTTCTAGGCACTCAAAGATCAGAGATTAGGAAGTATTTCTGTTCTCTGATCTGCCAGGAGACTGTCTTAATCTGGGATTCATTCTTCCTGCTATGAGAGTCTCACCAAGAAAATCTCTGGAGCCAGAAGAAACAGGAAGGTCCCTGACCTGGCTCCTTATGATCCAGGAAGGCTGGGTTTTGCCTCTGGAATTTTCTTGAAAGGACGCCCTGATGACTGAATTCCTGATTCAGTCCCCAACTCAATCAAAAATTTTCCCCAGCAAGCGGAATTTTTATGCTTGTTTCAACTTCCCTAGTCCTAGAGGGCTTGCCATTCACTGGGTGATTAAATATTGTTCTTTACGTATCCATGTATGAACAAATCAAGCCCTTTTCCTAACTCTTAAGATACCTAGGCAACCAAACAGGAATTTTTGAGACCACCCAAAGAACTGCAAGCCTAAAATTTAGCTATTACTTATCTTCCTGATAGGCACTTATTTCCTTTCAAGGCCTTCTCCTGACAGCACACGCAGGGCAGCCGTTCACACTGACAACAGCGCTGTGGAAAAGGGG